CAATATTCCCCAACCAAAACTGTTGCCCTCACCAGCATACTTAAAGGTGCAAAAGTTGAAAAAGTACTAATCTATCTTCAATTATATTAAAACAACTAACTTTAACACTGATTTAACATCAGCACATAATGATGCAAGAGAATGCCAGTTGCCAAGTGAATGATCTAAAACTGTTATCAAAGCTATGAAAATGCCACTTGAGTACAGCCATTGTGCGAAGAATCTTTTTATGCATACAACAATTTACTCCTTGGGCAAGACACTTCATCCCAAATGTCTCCTCTGGGTATTGTCCACAAAATTGAGTGTATGTAAAGCATCTTTGAGCACCTGTATAAGTGATATAAAAATACCATGTATTATTATTATTATTACCCTCAATAAATGCACGTCTTATTTAGGAAAACACACTGTCTTAATACATGCAGCGAACAAAAAAATACATATTTGGTGACAGGAACTGTATTAAAATGTGTGTGCTTCACCTCTATGGATGATATTGTAACTGAATTACTTCATACAAATTTAAATTGAATTACTGCAACGGGAGAAAACAATTTACATCATCCATAAAAAAGGAAATCTAATTTCATGTCAAGGGGGAAAAAGCCCAGATTTCGCAGCGTACTTTACATGATGCAATCCCCTGAGAAGGACATGCTTGAACTTGCCATTTTAATTAGCTCTTTGAACATGTAAACATGTAATGAAAAAACACACACAGGGAAATAACACATCCTATGATGGGTTATTCCACAGCCCACTCCCGAAAGAAGAGAGGCTCCTCAAACAACAATGTTTCAGCTCACAGACCCAGTCCCAGCTTTGCAAGAGAAAAAACTGAAAAATAAAAATAAACCAGTCGGTCACAGCGCTTTTAATGAAGACACATTTGGTTCATGGTGCTGAAAAAGCGTGATACGAATAGCAAACTTCTGTTGTAGCATATGTCAGTGAGGAACATAAATGAATAATGTCGGCTCGTCCCTGTGCCCCCAATTAGTACAGACATGCATTGTTATATGGCTAATTGTCTTGTTCCTCTGTGTCTTTTAACACGCTCCCAGGACATGCAGGAGGAGAGGAGCGCAACTCAAGCACCAGCTGTGCTTGTAAAAGCCTCTTGATAGCTCATTCAAGGCATCATCAGGCTGCCTTTGCATCAACAATAACCACTATAGTTGTCTCCGCAGGGAGAGTTTCACTTTTTTTTCAGTCAGCTGGGAAATAGCATTACAATGATTAACTGACAGTCTCTGTCTATGGACACTGAAGTGATGAAGTTAAGAACAGGAAAAGACCACTGAAGTTTAGAAGTAACATACAGTATGTTATAAATACAAGGCAGCTAAATTAAATAATTTGATGATGGAAAAATGTCCAACACTAAACCTAAACTAATCTGAAAACAGGGTTGGAATAAGTACTCAGATCTTGTACTTAAGTAAAAGTCCTGCATTCAAAATGTTACTCAAGTAAAAGTACAAAAGTATTAGCATCAAAATATACTTAAAGTACCAAAAGTAAAAGTACTCAGTATGCAGATTGGTCCATTTCAGAATAATATATATTACATGTTTTGCTTATAATTATTGATCATTAAAGTGTTATCAAGGCTGGTAAAGGTGCAGCTAGTCTTAATGACTTTGTATACTGCAGGGTAGACTGTGAATGTACAGGTGTAACTAAAGTCTGATTTAACTGTTGTTTGTATTTCACATCGTTAATCCACATCTGTTAAGTAACTAAAGGTATTAAATAAATGTAGTGGAGTAAAAGTACACGATTTACCTCTGAATTGAAATAAGGGAGAAGCACAATATCCCAAACATTTAAATACTCAAGTAAAGTACAAGTACCTCAAAGTTGTACTTAAGTAAAGTATTGAGTAAATGTACTTAGTTACTTTACACCACTGTCTGAAATGCTTTGTTGATATGCAGCCTGCAGGGGTTTGATATTGCACTATACTGTATCTTATTCCAAACCAGAAAAGTAATCACATTTTAGCAGGGTTTTGTTCTCCCATTTGGATGAGAATGTCACATTAAAACTTAAATGAGAGATTAAAATAGTTTTGAAGTATGTTTTCAAACATACACAATATTACCATAAGTACATTAAACACATTTTGTTGTAATTATTATTACTAATGTGCTTACTGTAAACAAAAATACTCCTTTCTAGTATCCTATGGACGGTTTTGGGGACATTTGTGGAGTAATAGTTGTTGTCACTAGAAGAAGAATGGCTGCTGTAGTCTTGCAGGTGTAAAAGAGATACACAAAGCCCAAATAATTGGCCACCAAGGACATCCAATGTTCAACAGATATGTTCTTCAAAGGATGTTGTTTTTTGTCCAGCAAGTAAGATATGAACAGAAGGAATAATTACAGAAAACAAAAATGGGTTCAATGTTCATATGGGACTACTGTTTTAATCCAGACTTAAAACTGTGTGTGCCCTTCAGCTGTACAAATTCCCTCTTTAGTGCTTTGTCCTCTGAGATCACTTGAGTCAGATTTATTTTGTTGCTTTAATTTTCCAAACTGTGGGCTGAAAACTGCAACGGTGGCCAATGATCTCAAGGGGCATCGGACACTATAAATTGCAATTTCACAGGCAATTAAACATTTAATGCACAACAGGCTTTTCGGTTCATCTGCAAATTGAGGTAAGCTTAATTTTGAATAAAAACATTTGAGAAATAACATGATTGTATCCAGTTTGGTTGTATTATTTATGTGATTATAGTTTTCAATCAAACTTATAGCTTGGTAGCATGGAGGATGTTTTCAGTGTATTTATAACAGTTTCTGTGTCTGCTTTTCAAATCAGGACCACTTTAGGCGCTGCTGTTATGGATCTGTGTGTGACCATCAAAGGGGTCTCCTTCCTCTTGCAAACAGGAATGGGCATCTTTGGGAACTCTGTGGTCCTGCTGGCTTACGCCAACATCATTTGCACCGAGCCCAAGATCCTTCCTGTGGACCTGATCCTGTGCCACCTGGCCTTCGCCAACCTGATGCTGCTGCTGACCCGCTGCGTCCCCCAGACTATGACTGTGTTTGGGATGAAGGACCTGCTGAATGACCCTGGCTGTAAGGTGGTGATCTACGCCTACCGTATCGGCCGGGCTTTGTCAGTCTGCATCACCTGCATGCTCAGTGTGTTTCAGGCAGTCACCATCGCCCCCGCTGGACCCCGTTTATCCAGATTGAAACCTGCACTTCCTTCCCTGGTCCTCCCTACATTTGCAGGACTGTGGTTACTCAACATGGCCATATGCATCGCAGCCCCTTTCTTCTCTATGGCCCCACGTAATGGCACGGTCCCTGCCTTTACTCTTAACCTGGGCTTCTGTCATGTGGACTTCAGAGACTACCTGTCCTATGTGATAAATGGCGTGGCTGTGTCTGTGAGGGATTTTGCCTTTGTTGCCCTGATGTTGGGCTCAAGTGGTTACATCCTGCTGCTCCTCCACCGCCACAGCCACAAGGTGAGAGGGATGCGTCGCTCTCATGGCGGAGGGGCAGAGACCAGGGCGGCTAAAACGGTGGTCACCCTGGTGGTTCTGTATGTGTTCTTTTTCGGCATTGATAACGTGATCTGGATCTACATGCTGACGGTGCCGAAGGTGTCACCAGTGGTGGCTGATATGAGGGTGTTCTTCTCCTCTTGCTATGCCTCTCTCAGCCCCTACTTCATCATTTCCTCCAACAAGAAGGTCAAGGCGAAGATCGTGTGTGCAGCAGAGCAAGATCAGCCGTCAGCACACAATCAGGAATCGAGTGAAAAATGACACTCTTTTGCTGTCTTGACAGACTGTTGACAAACAAGACAAGGTTGTTTTCTCGGACCTTATCATTTTCAACCCTGCTGCACAGATGACAGTCATTTAGCTGAACAATGGACTTTTTAGAAGTAGTACAAATAGTGCCTTGTAATGGTGATATAGTGTCTTATGTCTCTTGAGTATATTTTTGAATAAAATTATAATTATACAGGTGTCTGAACATATACCGGCTATGTGGTTTGTGGTCATTTTATCACTGAAAACTATACAGGTCATTGTCATTAGAGCTGAAGCCATTAGTCAATCGGTATTTTAATTATTGCATCCATGTTGTTTATTAACTGTTTTCTTTTGTTGTTTATACATTTTTTAAGCGAATGTGCAAAACACCCCTTTGCTTTTACATGTGGAAATGATATGCTTTTCTTTGTCTTTTGTGGTCTTACACTGATTATATTTGAGATCGTTTGACATTCAAAAACTATTTAAACAGGGCATTAGCCAACATTAAAGACAGGTATGTCCTCTAAACGTTTTGTTAAATGTTGAGGTTTTATTGTCCCTGGAATGTACAGTTTCACTTAGATTTAAAATGCTTACTTTTAATACCAAGTTCAGATATGTTAAGAGTCCCTATAGAGGGCCAGCATCGTTAATTTAAAAATAATAAGATTTCCAATTTATATAACATGACTTTATTCATGGCATAGGAAAAATATGGGAAAATACCTTGTTCTTGTGGCTATTAAAACATTTCTAAGTGCAGTATTTTAAAAAGTAATGGTCCTGAAGATGTCACTTTTGTCTTTAGGAAATTATATTCACCTCGTGAAAAAAAATCAATCGTTTGTATAAACTAATAATATATAAGTAAATTATTAGTATATTCTTAACATATTGGTTCACTGTCGGTGCGCACTGATTGGTTGAAATGTTAGGAACAGCTTCAGGTTATGGGTACATTTTGACCATATAGTGACATTTAAGGCAGCACATTCCTCAACTTGCTGCGACCATCCCCATCAGTCAAACTTGTATTTAAAAATGTAGATCAGACCTTGTTGATTGAATGTTCAATGCAATAGTAGCGGTTTATTGTCTGAATCTTACCCACGGAAAATGATTCAGATTGCAGCACAACAGAGCGCACTCTCAGCCTGAGAGACATGACTGAGGGAGGGTTGATCCCACACAAGCACAACAAACCCCGGAAAAGGGAAGCGGAACACGGCCCCTAATGCTAAACTAAAAGTAAATAAAAGTGTAGTCTGAAGTACACCGTTCCTGGAATAAACGTATCGGCATACGTTCATGCGTATGAAGGAAGCAATTTAGAAATGAAACATTCTGAAGTCATGTAACGCGTCGAAGAGTGTCAGTTGGGATAAACGCGTAGCTAGGAGTTAGCTCAGTTTGACAACAAGACGCTGCTTTTGCTCCTGACTGAAGTATTTAGCGACCAGTTTGTGATGATTATTAAAGCTGTCTTCCAGTTTGTGGCAGACCAACTCGCTCTGTTTCATTTTAGGTGAGTTATGTAAGCCTCTTGCTAACTGTTAGCTTTTGTTAGCTTACATTAACTTGTTTACAAAGAATATGGTTGAACATCAGCAGATGTGTCCTGCATTACGAAACTTACTGTAGCTAACGAAGCGCTCCACATCTACAGCTAACGCTTGCTAACTATTGTCTTCATTGTGTTGCTGTTATGCATTGCTGAAAGAATTACTCTGATTATTAACTTAAGTTAAGGTAGAAATGTCACAGTGTAAAACTACTGCAAAAGTAAAGCATTCAAAATCTAAAAGTAGCCTTCATGAGTATTAGCATTTAATATAAGTAGCAATAGTAAATTAATCAATAATGCAGAATGGCTAATTGCATAATAATATGTATTATATGAATGTATTATAATTGGCGATGCAGTAATGTTGTGTAAGCATTACTATTGTTGTAATTGATAAATGTGAGGTACATAATTAACAGATCCAATGTTGCTTAAAACATGTTGTTTATTCGATGTATTTTTCTTTTTTGGGTTGTTATTATTACGGGCATCAAACTTGTATCATGTTGTTGTTGAATGTACTTGAATCTGTAGAATAGTTAGTAACTTATGTTTGTAACAAATATTATGAAATTAAAAGAACAATATGTTCCTATTAAATGTAGAGTTATAAATACAATTAAAAGAATCAAAGAAAGCTCTCGAACCTTAGGGACTGCATAGGAACATTAGCAACTACATCCGACAAATGACATGATGGAATCGAGTGCTCATTAATGTGCATTGTCCCTTCTTACATTAATGTATACATAAAATTAAGGACAGCACTTAATAATATTAACCCATCTACTTACTAAGCTTCATTCCATCACGTTTTGTCTGGTTCAATGTGTCTGTATCTCTTTTTTTGTCTAGTGAACAAATCTGGATTTCTGCCCAGTCGTCTCTCTTTCCTGCACTCTTTGTGAAATGACCTGACTGTGACTTCACTGGTTCCAGAATCCGATCACAATGGCCAGAATAGCCTGGTATCAAGAGAAGGTAAACAACATATGTTGTTGTGAAAGGCATACCATTAATATATCCAACAAACAGGTTTCAAAGATAAATAAATGAGGGGTTGTGTTGTAAAAATATACTGGCAAAGGCCATGTATTTATTTAAAAGGCAATATTTATATCAATAAATGCAAATGGTCCCAGAAAAACCCAGCAGACACAAGTCTAAGATGAAGACTTTTTGATGTATTGTGTGTTTAATTGACAGAGACACTGCTGATTCTACAAAAACACCTGCATACCTTTCCTGTTTTGTTTGACTGTGTACAAAGCAAATGAAGTTGGAAAAAAAAGGTGGGACCTGTTACAGGATAGGTTACCATATGTTGAAACATGTAGGGGGATAAGGCTGCCAGAAGCACACAATTATGCAATACTCATTTTAAGAGCTCACTTTCATATAACCTGATTTGCATCAAATGTGAACAACATCTGACGCCGTTGGAGACATGTGTTTACATGTCTTCAACGGCAGTGGAGCAATTGAAAGTGTTTCTTGCTGCTGAACCTGTAATCATATAATATAACAAATTCCATCATCTCTTACGTTGTTTATGTTAGTAGTTCATGTCGTTTTTTTAAGAAGAAGATAACCCTTTATTTATCCCCAAGTAGAGATTCAGTTTTTTACTCTGTTGGTTGAACACACACAGTAAAAACAAACACATGCATAGTAGGGCTGAACGATATATCGTGTCATGGCGATAACTATTATTATTATTAATTTTAATTTTAATTTATTTTTTTTATTTTAGGACGTGCGATATTAAAGTTGGGGTAGGTAATTTTGGAGAAACCAGCTCGAGTGCGCTAGAATTTGAAAATACACAGCCGGAACAAATCTGCCACTTCCTTACAGAGCCCCTCCTCCAACACACACGAACGTGCACATGACCAATGAGGGCACGAGATAAGTTTGTGCACAGATGGAAGGCTGACAGGCAGGTAGGCCATCCAGTTACTTTAGCCGGGCCGGCTAAAATGATTGGTCGTGCTTTTTACAGCACTACGGCTTCCACAGATGAAATGTTTTTATGGATTTTTTGTCAAAGCACTTAAGATATTCATTGCTATCGGATGTTAAGAGCATTCCATGGAATATAACAAAAAGTGTATCTCGAGCCGGTTTCCCAAACTTACCCACCCCACCTTTAAGTAGGTAAATTAACTCAAACACGTCATGTTACAATTATTTTGCTGCTTGCTACAAAAGGAAAACTTGAGCGGCTCTCATGTCAGAGGTACTTGAGTGAGTGACATGCAGGCTCTGCATGCACAGCAAACTACCAATCACAATCATTCTTGATCAGATCACAGCAGGCCCTGCCCCGCTAGTTTGCAGACCATCAAAACACCGGTAAAAAATGTGCGAGTCAAATATGGTTAAAAAAAATGCAATATATATCGCAGAGGAAAAAAATATATATCGCAATGTCAGTTTTTTTCAATATCGTACAGCCCTAATGCATAGTAATGCACAGTACAAATACACACATGCATTTTATAGAGAGCTGCTAGAGCGAAGAGGCTGCTAGGTTGTCCGGTGCCAGAGAGCAGTTAAGTTGCCTTGCTCAAGGACAGCTCGGCAGTGACCAGGAGGTGAACTAGTTCCTAGGCTAAGTCCGTACAGACTGAGCTACTGCCTGCTGTTCTGTAGTCATACTTGTGATGTGTATGAGGCTTCAATGTTTTATTTAAATGCCAGATAAAAGTACATTGGTTTAATAATTTGTATTTAAAATGCATTTATTTTAATAACCAGTTTATTTAACATCCTGCAGTGCTTGTTCTGAAGGAAAGTATTGATAAAAGTTGTGTTGTTGCTACAGATCGGAGCCTATGATCAACAAGTCTGGGAGAAATCTCTGAAGCACACCGATCTAAATGTAAGACGACAAAAAAAATCTTGATAAATAAATACTTTGTGTATCTATCTTCGGCATTCCCACTAAATCGAAAATACCACTTTCCATGTATCAAGGGTTTGAACAGCAAACCAAGAAAGACGGGCCACATCAAACCAGACCTCATCGATGTCGACTTAGTAAGAGGTGAGGATCGATGAAGAGTAGTTCTCCATCTATTGTTAGCAGTAAATACATTTGCTCCTTACCCTGTCCACACATATCCACACTAACCTAAGTCATTTCTGCCTATGTTCTGATCCGTTTTGTACGTTCTGTTTCTGTAACTTTAGTTCAATGTAGTTGTGTCTTGCTTAACCCTAACGGCAACAGAGCAACAATTATGTTGTAAAGCTGTGAGATATTGTCAAATCTATAATGGTTTCAATGAAGCTTTGTAAGAGACTTTCTTATTCCTCCCTTTAGGGTCAACTTTCAGCAAAGCTAAACCAGACCGGCCCTGGACAGCTCTGACTCGGAAGGGTCTGGTCCGAGTGCTGCTGTTCCCGTTCTTCTTCCAGTGGTGGATCCAGGTCACCTCCAAGTCCATCTCCTCCTGCATCCTCGTGCTCTACTTCATGCAAGGTTTGCTCACCGGCTCAATCTAATTGTATTCATAATGGGGCTGTGGTTTCTCAGAGAACTGGATTGCATTGGTTTATTCTTTCAAACATTAACATAATTACAAGAACCAGTGTACAAATGACATGACTACACATTTTAAACAAACTCCAAGTGTCTTGACACTTATGCTACTCATGAAAGATTTTAAGTTATAACTGAAATGTCACTTGATGTTGGAGAACAGGTTTGACAGAATACTAATCCTTAACATCTTTGTCATAATACATTAACTCTGTCCAATTTCACATGTCTTAGTAATATATTTAGTAAATACTTTCTGTCTGGACCCCTATTCTAGACCTTCAGATAGTTTATTATGTTTGTACCTTTTTTAAAACTGCCTCTTTTATAATACTAATTATTAACATGCTTTTCTTGAACCAATGGAGCTCAAATGAGTTAACCAACTTGACATGCATTGGGTAATATTAACTGACAAAGCTCATGTATATTACAACAGTTACTGTTGAGTGTGTGTTGTTCCTAAATTACAACATCTCTGCATCTGTAATAATCTTTTAGAGCTTTTTCTATTGACTTTGTTAAACCATTAAAACACAAACACGGTCATTAAAGGAAAAAAACAGTACCCTGTTTTTGATATGTACTTAATTCAGGATCTCCATTTGTCACAGTTTACACAGTTATGTGCAACACTAACCATATTAACCGTCACACCTGAGCAACACAGAAAGACCTCATTAGTAAGCAGGAATTCTGTTATAATGTCCCCCCGAAGGGACCGTTTTGTTTGCTGATGCCAAATGTTTTGCTCCCCTCAGTGGCCGCGCTGCTGCTGTACGTGGATGTCCCTGGGGCGAGTGCCAGCGAGGTGTTTGGCCCCATGTTTCTGATGCTGCTGCTGGGCACGGTGCACTGCCAGATTGTGTCCACTGAGTCCAGCCGGTGGTCCTCGGGCAGTCCAGCTGCCAGCTGCACCACCAGCCCCGCTCGCAGACGGAGGTGCTGTACTCATTGTTAGGCACTGCACACTCATTTGCTTTTACAAACACACTCTCACCTCAGGTGCATAAACTGCCACATTATTCACACAAATAGACTCAGAGACCTTAAACCTAGAGTTATTCTATTCAGTAAGGCCTCTCTTGAACTTCTTTCACTCCTGTGGGTTTAGCTCATTTTGTAATGGCTGCTGTATTTAGAATGTATTGTCTTCAACTGACATTTTTATTCTGTCTCCTGCAAGGCCAAGGAAGAGCAGAGGGCTGAAAAAATCTGAGGAGAAGAATGACAGCGAGGACAGAGAGCAGCAGGGGCCCTGGTCGTTTGAAGAAAGCCAGCTGTTATACAGGAACGAAGAGAGGAGGGTACAGTCACTCATCAAACTACTGAATCTCAAGACTGTGATATAAAGTAAAGAAGAAAATAACTTATGAATCAAAGATACAAATAACACCAAATAAATGCAGGTGGGCTGTATTGACATGTAGGTTTAATAACATTTTGAATTGTGTTACCTCATGGCTAATATCAACATCAAAATAAGGTATTTTTGTTTAGTTTGCTGTCTCAAAAAGAAAGGCAGATTGAGTTAAACCTGAATAAGTAGTAATAAAGATGAAAACTATCTTTAATGAAGTCGATGACCTATATCTGAATAGATATTTTAATAAATATTAAAACGTGCAGTCGTTTTATCAACTCTCGCTATTATATCGGAGTTCATCACACTGACGGATGGTTTTGTTATTTTATGAATTTCCGTTGGTTAAGGGTTGTGTTTCAAAGCTGCTCTAGATTCTTTAATAACATGTTTTTTACACCATATAATTTTAGTCTTATGGCATATTTCAAATTCATGCATGTGTTGTCATTCCTTTTGTTTGTGTGACTTGATATTCTTTCACAGATCACAAGAAAGTCAGGTTTTGGGGCATCCGACGAGCTCTCCAGTGAGGAAGAGGAGGGGGTTCAACCGGTGGAATTAATTCTTCCAGCATCTGATCAAGAGAGACAACATGCGTCAACAAGGCCGCCATCTGAAACAGGGGCCTCTGTTAGAAGGAGGAGTCTAAACTCTATGGCCACACCCACATTAAGACCTCAGGTGAAGTTTGGTGTTTTGTTTATAGAACAGGTATTTAAGATTGATCACAGCATGCAAGATTTAAATAATTATTTCAAACACTGAAACAGGAAGTGAGTGGGGCTTCCATCAAAGTGAAGCCTCGAGAGGTGGATCGCCTCAGGCCAAGGTTGGGCTCTCGTCCTGCCTCCGACACCGATGACACGTTGTGGGAGGAGCTTCTCCAGGGGCCTGACTCCGCCTCCACGGAGAGCAGCGACAGTGAGGTGAACGGGAGGTACAATGCCGGCCTGACGCTCCCACCAACCACCACTCTGAGCAGTGACGATGAGAGCCTGCAGCAGGGGATCGCCGGAGTAAGATCGTCAATAAACCTTGTGTTGTGTGGACATAACGGTTGTGTTTAAAAAGTCATGGTTTATTTTCAGATCTCCACATTTTATGACTAATCCCAGTAACTCAGAATCCTATTTAGCCCTAGAACCATTGCAGAATATGACACTGCAGCATTATTTACACATTTAAAAGCAGCAGTAAACTAAATGTTGTTTATTGTGCATGTGATTTCAGAACCAGCTGTCCTGGCTGCAGTCGTGTCACCCATCCAAGGACCGTGTCAGTGCCATAATATGGGAGCAGGGCGAGTGTAAGAAAGCAGACATGTCAGTATTGGAGATCAGTGGGATCATCCTCACACGGGTACACAATATCCTCTTTATGTTTGTAATAATGATACAGCATGTGCAGTTTTAGACTGTGTGGTATGAAGACATCCGATATCACAATATTTGAGGTTAAATACCTGGACTTCAAAATTGCGACAATATCATAGGGTTGACTATTGCTTTCACCCAAAAAAAAAAATTAAATATGATTATTAGGTATGTGGATATAATGGCTATGTGGGTAAAGGCAAATAATATAACAGACAGCTAGAACAATCTGTCACTTACGTAATGCATCCTTTAAAACCAGTAGAAAGTCACTTAGTGCAATATTTAGAGATCTAGTCTCATATCACAAAACCAATATATTATCGATAGCCCTCCTAGTGCTGCATAATACAAGTGTTTGAAGCCAAGAACCAAGACTGTGTGCCTAAAAAGGGAGAGTTCACTGTTCTTTACCTTGCTGTGTCAGACAGCCATTTTCACAGGGGAACTGAAGCTGTTGTCGATGCCCTTTTTGCAAACCACCAGACTCCTCTGACAAAATCAATCATTTTAACTTACAGACAGAGGATGGTTCTGGTTTACAACTGCCTAGATTGGTTATGTTGTTTTGGTTATTGTGTGACTTAGGTGATTCCTAACCCTTTAAAACACAACATTTACACAATAACCTCTTCTAGGTCTCCTAGTTTGTCTACCACACAGTCATATCTGTGACAAGAAATATTGCAATTCAAAGTGTAGTCATCTTGAGTTATGCAATAAAGGTGCAGATAGGATTGCCAAAGGAGCCCAATACTGAAGCTTCCATGTGGTGTTTTAACTCCCGGGATGAATTGGCTGACGCGCTTACTGTGTTTATAGATACCGTTTGTGTTGTTGTTTTCAATGATGAGTCGGTAGGCTTGTTGATGATGCGGAATAGTACATTCCATTTATTGACCAGGGTTTGTGCATCGTGAAAGTGAAGTTCATACAATTATCCTTGTTAACAAACATGCTTTGTGGTATTTCGACTGCCTTTAACCATTTGCCCTTCCGCGGTCAGACACACCCTATCAGGTGACAAAAAAACAACGTAAATACCATTCGCCATAGGGAATCGGACAGCGACACACAGTGAATAACACCTCATTGTGACAACTTGAACCCAAACATGACACTCCATCAAAATGGCTCTTAGAATTACAATGTACATTTTACATAATTACCGATATGAAAAAAATTGAAAATCTCAACGTTTAACTGTCAGACATGTACTGTTAAATCACTTCTGGGTAATAAACATGCAGGCTATGTTAATTTAAATCAATATTTTCTGACTGAGTACCTGTCCAGATGCACTGATTTTATTAGCAGAATTTCTTTGCAGCATAACAAGATGTCTCCTGTGTCTCCCTCCTGTTTCTTCCCAGGTGAAGTTGGTGGAGCAGGGTGTGGGCTACCTCATGCTTGGTGGGCTGATGACCACCACCCTGGCTCTGCTTCCCTTTGCCTTCCACCTGGCTCAGCGTCTGGACGTGTCCAAACTCAGCTCCCTTTCACAGAAGGAGCTGGTAGACATGGCGCTGGGGCAGCATGGTCTCCATGCTTACGTCTTTTTCCTCATCACAACGCTGCAAAGAGTCTGCCTCATAGGACTGTTCTTCTTCATGATGTGTGTGGCTGAGAGAACGTACAAACAGGTGAGCGCTGAAGTATTTTTTATATATTTGCTCACACTTTATTCTCAGCTATGTCTTGCCACAAGGTTATGTGTAGTTAAATATGATTGCTTATAGAATCAATTTTAACCCAAAAGTGGCATTCCTCCATCACAGTCAAAACGAAATGGCTTTTCATAACTGAATGTAACTCCTGAGGTTATCAATAGCTCATATAAACGTCTGTGTCTTTTTATAACTCCTAGAAAAAAATCTCCTATAATCTCAGTTCTTTTTTCATAATTACCACATTTATAACGTTCTTCAATATGAGAATTAATTATTAAATTGGTCGTCCTGACATCCATGGTAACAATGCAAACAGGAACTACTAACGGCTAAATCGGCATGTTTTTCAATGGTCCAAATTAGCAAATGCCAAAAAAAATGTTGACAAAAGATAACAGAGCTCAAGGGGACTACTCACTAACCACACATATTATACTTCCTTTTGGCATCATCCAAAGCATGAGAGGAACTGTTCCAAACCGTATTAATCAAAATAGAAAAGTTGAATTTAGTGACAAAATCCATATTTTTGAACTATAGATTAGCTTCTTTTCAGATTTGTAATTCTCAGAATATCCAATAAACTTGGCTCTTATCCCCTGACATTTTATTCAAGCCCTACATGTGCAAATATTGCCCTTTCGTAATAAACATGAAGTGAAAATCCATGTACTTACATTAATCCAACTCATCCACACTTATCAATTCATTCAGTTCATTTATTTAACAAATGTCTCCCTCTAGTGGTGTTAAGGACCATTTAAACAGAATCACCTCTCTTGACTCTTTGCAGAACTGCTTAACTCTATCTGTGCTTTGCATCTCTGACACTGTATTTCCCTTGTTCCCGTTACAGAGACTCTTGTTTGCCAAGTACTTCAGCCACCTGACTTCAGCTCGCAAGGCCAAGAAATCCGAGATCCCTCACTTCAGGCTGAAGAAAGTCCAGAACATTAAGATGTGGTTGTCACTACGCTCTTTTCTCAGGGTGTGTATTCTCCTGCTTTAAAACTCCCCCTGTTTGTGTATATTTTATTCACCTCAAGAGTGTTTCACTGGACTAGTCTTTGTTTGTAGTGGTGTGTTCACTGACTTGCTTATTCTTACTGGATGCTACCCGTACGTCATTTTGCTGCTACTTATTGAATACATATTGCATTTGCCTTTTTATCTGCACTGTTCCCCACTGTGATATCAATAAAATATTTCTGATTTTATTGCAGAGACGAGGGCCGCAGCGCTCCGTTGACGTCATTGTCTCCACTATCTTCCTTTTGGCACTTTCCATTTCCTTCATCATTTGCGCCCAGGTCAGGTCATCTTATTTATCAGCTGGAACAGATCTGATCTGTGAAGCGATCCCAAATGTAATAATGTTACCAGACAGCCACAAAAGATGCAACCATCTAATCCTATTACCAGACAAGAAGATGAGACCTATTTATCACTCGGCTTGTCAAAAGTACTCCTGTTAGTTATCCTGGCTCATAAATGGTGGAAACAAGCTCTCCATTGATATCAGGAAAGCTAAATGTTGTACTTCAATGGTTTTAGCTCATTTGAAGCTAATGCACCAGCACCTACAATGGTTTGACTTATTGAAACAAATGAACCTGCATGTTTCTTGCTGTTCTGAGTTTGTATCTTTTTGGTATATTGCACTTATTGTAAGTCCCTTTAGATAAAAGTGTCAGCTAAAAACAATGTAATGTCATGATACAGTTGAATCCCAATTCTTACAACTAATTGCTGAGGGCTACAAGCATAACCACTGTTGTTGTTTTGTTGCCCTTCTTTAGCTTCTGCGCAACCACCAGACATTCCTAGAGACCCTGACTAACTGGGAGCTGATGGTGTGGGCCTCCTCCCTCATCCTCTTTCTGTTACGGCTGGCAACGCTCGGCTCAGAGACAAACTGCAAATACAGCAACTCATCAGTGCTGCTCACCGAGCAGGTAAGAATATGTGTCTGCAAAGAGGGAAACACATGGAGCTGCAGGTTATTTCTCTGTGGGTTCAGCCCTGTACAGCAATACTATCAGATGATTTACAGTCAGTATATCATTCAGTTAAAAAATGACCATGACTTTATTGTATTATTTATATTATGTGAAACTGTTGCAGATCAATTTGTATCTCAAGATGGAGAAAAAACCCAATAAGAAAGAAGAACTCAACATTGTGAACAACGTTTTGAAACTAGCTACAAAACTGATGAAGGTAAGCAATTTTAGCTTGTTTTCTGAATAAGAAATACTCTAATTTTAATGTACCATCAGAGGGGCTTTGTTTGATTTTTAAGTGTAAAATACTGCATATATTAGCATTCTAATCCTTTCAAAATAAGATTAAGGCAGCACTTTTAGGTTAGATTATTTTTCCCATTGTGTCATTTAAATAATGAAACATTCCGAGTTGGTTTAAAATGTGTTTTTTAGAAAATAAACAATGGCTGACGTTAACCAAAATGTAAAATAAAAAATATATAATTCCTCATCCTGTTGACTATGTTAATAAAACTGTTACTTCCACTGACTGAGTTGATGTTTGTTAGTTACAATTGTTCAATAATTGGTGTTCAGTAATCTCACTTTATGTTTAACTACTTAACTGTCCCTTAGTATTACACTCTAATAACCTCCATAATTCATTCTAGCTTTGACTCATTTTGTAAAGTTATATAACATTGTATTCCCTCTCTCCTCCTAAGGAGCTGGATATACCTTTCAGACTGCTGGGTCTGACTGTGAACCCTCTGATCTACAATATCACCAGAGTGGTCATCCTGTCCGCTGTGTCTGCTGTGGTCAGCGACCTGCTCGGCTTCAACATCAGAGTGAGGGTCTTTCTGCTAAAGTTAAATGATATCTCATGTGTAATTTAGCAATCCCTCTATTGTGAATATACTTAATTGAATAGGCACATTTCCCTTTAGTATTAAGTTATGTGTACAACTCTCATGTTTGTGTGTGAACCCCAGAGGCTGTTAGCCTAGCTTAGCATAAAGACTGGGAGCATCGGAAAATAGCTTGTCTAGCTGCATTCAAAGTTCAAAAATACATCAATTAACTTCTCTAATGCTCACTTATTAACTATTACTAGTAGTTTTTATGGTTAAAACAAAAGATACATGGTAATCCGTGGTACATTTTTGAACTATGCTGAAACAACCTGAGCTAATGGGCTCTGGTTGTAGTTCCACATTTATAGCACAGACATGGGACTGGAATAGACTCGCTAAAAGATAGTGAATAAGCGTTATTCCCAAAATGTTGTGTGTGTGTGTGTGTGTGTGTGTGTGTGTGTGTGTGTGTGGTGTGGTGTTGTGTGTGTGTGTGTGTGTGTGTGTGTGTGTGGTGTGTGTGTGTGTGTGTGTGTGTGTGTGTGTGTGTGTGTGTGTGTGTGTGGTGTGTGTGTGTGTGTGTGTGTGTGTGTGTGTGGTGTGTGTGTGTCGTGTGTGTGTGTGTGTGTGTGTGTGTGTGTGTGTGTGTGTGTGTGTGTGTGTAGATTTCTCTAACAAAAGTTGTATATTCTCTGCTTCATTTCCAGCTGTGGAAAATCAAGCCTTAATGTGAAAAGAGCAAACTACTAACAGTCGGACACTGGATACCAGAAGCTCTGTCCGCAGCTACAGCGTCTCATCAAAAAAGTGCAAATCTACTGACTGTTATTCATTGTCTGTGCCTTCCAGCAGAAACGTCTGTCTCTTGAGTTTCATCAGTCATTCCCAAGCCTGAGATGCTCTGACTATTGCTCACACACAATTGCTGGCGGCTCAGTTGGTGTCCATCTACCACGCCACTAAACCAGTGCCTAATGTTTTACCCCTTTTCAGTGTGTCGTTAAATATAGGGGTGATTTTGAGGTCTGAGATCATTTCAGGCATCCGTGGCATCCAGAGGTGTATACGCACAACAAAATGTAAATACAGACCTGGAGTGGATAGTTTATATAGTCTTACTGATGTTTTCCCATCAATATATTAGTTAAACTAACTGTAAATCAAGCTATGTGCTATCTGAAGCCGCTAAATCAAAAGGGGCTGCCAGTTTAATTAAATTAATTTTCATAGGAATTTGATTTTTGTACGGTTTAAAGAGGAAACTTTGTGATTGTAAGAGGGCTTTATTTATTTGGGGGTCTATTTTCACTTAAACTTGTAATGGTACCTGTAAATAATGACCACTATCTGTGTTTTGTGTCGATGAATTGTCAAAGGAAATAACTATGCCAAGTTTTGCTTAAAGAAAATACTTGTTAGAGGTGAATAAATGTTTTTATCTACCTATCAATCGTGTAATGTTTCTCTTTTAACATTTTGCCTTCTAAAAAAATCCTATTATGTTGTCTTTTTAATCTATTAGAGCTTTACGCGTTTACGTATGATCAACGTTACGGTAGGCAAAAATAAAATAAAATATGACGTAGTGGCACACCTCCAGTTTGGAAGGACACCAGCCGACCAAGGAGGCACCCCAGCTCCAAGGGCAGGCCGAGCAGACCGCCTCCTCCGGCCGCAGCGGCAGGATCAAACTCTCGGCCCGGCAGCGGCAGGATCAAACTCTCGGCGGCCCGGCAGCTCGAGAGACCCGCGTGCCGACCGTGTCCGCAGAGGCTTACCGGAAAAACTACCGCCTATCGAGCAGGTAAAAAAAGCAATATCCATTTGAATGAGATGCTGTTAGAAACGCGTCTTGCAAGGATTATGTTGGAGTTGGATTATATTGTATATTTCACTTCAGATTAAGTGTCGCATGAACTCAAGTACCCCCCGTCAGAGAGGATATCACCGCGTGCTCTTATGCGGCTACAGTGTGTTCAACCAAAGCGGGGTTTTTGTAAACGGATGATGTGGCAACATTTCATCCTTAACTCCTCTGGCTCATGTTACCACGGATACATAAAGCCAAAAACACATACTATTTGGAGAATGTAGCCTATTGCTATTTTTGCAAGATTCTGTTCTACCAGAGATGCATGGAAGTAATGGATGACATGTATTGTGACTCATCTGTTTCAGATCAGCTTGGATGATGTCCCTCTGAGAAATACATCGAGGGACAGCTGATTTTGACTCAAAAATACTTTAAACATGTCGTGCACTCAGATAGACAATGGCTGTTCAAACTCGGCAGAAGCTACGAAAACAGACCTGAGAACCAAGGAGAAGAAATGCTGTAAGTAAAGTCGAGGTTTTACCGTTTTACCACAATAATTTGATTTAAACACGTTATTTTGGTGCCATTGTAATATAAAACCTTGTATTGTTCACTCTGGATCTATAACACATTTTCTAAATCACCTCCCTGGGACATTGCCACTTCTTCACTAAAGCCTCCTATATTGTAAACATAGACTTTTTAATCTACATTTATATTTCTAAAGCAGTTTTTATTATGAAATGTTGTAAACATATCTAAACGCTCAATCCTGAACTCGTAAACTTCATTTAAATGAGCTTTCAGGACTTCTGATTGTTGTGATAATACAACACAATACATGAAGACCATCCCACAGTTTTAGATGTAAATACCATATGTAAATACTCTAAATGTGTCCCAGTTACATGAAACCAGTTTACAGGAAGTTGTCATGAACCCAAGTTGTTTCCTAGCAACGCAATTTATTTCATACAGAGGGCAGAATACAGGTATAGTCAATTCTCATGGAGAAAAATAGTTGTTTTTTAAACACTGAAGCATTTAACAAGTTCTAGTAGAAACCCAAATATAAGTATGAACCAATCTCTCCTTTAAGACTCCAACCTGCGAAAGATACTGAAATGAAAAGGTGAACATCTGGGCGAAAAAACTAAAGTGTGAAGAAGAAGATATAAAAAAGTGTGGCACCTTCTGTGGTTTCCACTGTTCTTCAGGAAATTGCTTTTTTCTCTAGGGATGATTTATTTTTAATTTCTTCCGGTCCTGTCTGAGACAATTATTTTTGTCCAGTAGAAACATGGCCTAGTTATGTAAGTGTCCTAATCCTGCAAGAATAGACACAATTATTACAACTATTTAATTATGGATTTATCTCATAATTATTTTTCTAAATGAATCTATTAATCATCTTGTCAATAAAATGTCAGCAAATAGTGATTTGTCCATCCCAGTTTCACAATGTCCAAGATAATGTTTAATAATGGGTTGTGTGGTCAGTACAAACCCAAAGATATTCAGTTAAAAATGACGTTAAACACAGAAAAAAACAAAGTCTCCATGTTTGGAAGGCTGAAAACGGCTGCCATTTTTGCATGAGAAATGACTTTAATTATGATTCGATTATCAAAATAGATAATTTTGTTGTTGACCAACTAATCAATGAATTGACTAATCAGTTGGTTGACTAACATTGGGTACATTTACATTATGACGTCATTTATTTGCTTATTTTTCTTATGCATGGGATTACCATTGAAGTGACCTATGATCTACGTCCTTTTAGCATGGGCCTCCTATATGACAAATTCTCCAACGGTGATCGTAATGATCGGCCTGCCTGCAAGAGGGAAGACCTACATGTCAAAGAAACTCACACGTTACCTCAACTGGATCGGGGTCCCAACCAAAGGTAGTACAAGACATGTTATGGAAACCTGTTGAATTGTCTTTTCATTTATTCTGACTATATATTAGAGCTGCATGTTATTAGGAAAAGGTGCAAAATGCAATGATGTTGTTCAATTTTGCAAAAATGATATTACTTGCGATATCATATGAAAGTATTTTCAGTTCTGCCTTTCTGCTTCTTTTGGTATACTGCTAAAGTACAACATGTTTGCTTGTTGAATAAAAAAGAACACAAAAGGAAGCAATGTCAAAAATCATAGTTACACTGTATTAAAGGTGGGGTAGGTAATTTTGGAGAAACCAGCTCGAGTGCGCTAGAATTTGAAAATACACAGCCGGAAAAAATCTGCCACTTCCTCACAGAGCCCCTCCTCCAACACACACGAACGCGCACATGACCAATGAGGGCACGAGATAAGTTTGTGCACAGATGGAAGGCTGACAGGCAGGTAGGCCATCCAGTTATTTTAGCCGGGCCGGCTAAAATGATTGGTCGTGCTTTTTACAGCGCTACGGCTTCCACAGATGACATTTTTTAATGGATTTATTGTCAAAGCACTTCAGATATTCATTGCTATCGGGATGTTAAGAGCATTCCATGGAATATAACAAAAAGTGTATCTCAAGCCGGTTTCTCAAACGTACCTACCCCACCTTTAAGTGCTATTTTCTACTGATACTCTCTTTGAACTAAACGAAAAATCCTTGAATCGCTGTGATGATTAAAAAATAATATGAAGTGCAGACCGAATATAACAATCAAAAACGCTCACTACATATTTTATACTGTAATTGATATTGAACCGCCAAAGGAATGGAAATCTTCAGATATGCTTGCAATGATGGTCAGAGTATTTTTAAAATAGGAAACTCAATTGTGTAGCAGTTGAGTTGTAATAGGTGAAATTACTTATTAAAAAGCAACTTGTGGGTGACTTGATGCACACGTGTACAGATTAAGCCTTTTAATATATTGTTTTCATTTTGCAGTGTTTAACTTGGGCGTGTACCGCAGAGAGGCTGTCAGAGCCTACAAGTCCTATGATTTCTTCCGCCATGACAATGAGGATGCCATGAGAATAAGGAAGTAAGTTCCACTCTAACTAATGTGCTCTTGTCCAGTCATTAGATTGTCTTTATATATCTATTAAGGGAAGCTGTAGCAGCTCTATTGTCTGACCAAACATTTCCTCCCAATCAACATGGCTCTGTTTGACACTATGCAGCCTCTACTGCTGCATCAGTGACTATGCAGTTTTTAAGCTAACATTCTATAATAAACCAGGGTCTCCACGGTCTTCTTGTGACCTTAAACTGGCACTTATCTAAAATTAATGTGACCGCTGTAAACCACTGCAGATTTCTCCAAAAGTATACAGAATAAATGTCTCTTTCCTTCATGGTCTTATCCAGTAATGGTTTTTGGAATGGGGTTTGTCCTTCAGGGCTATCAGGAGATTTGTGACAGGCTCCTGACAGCCTTCCAGAGCTGAATCGTGACCTAGATATTAAACAAGCTGCCACTGTCACTCTGAAGCTGACACAAGTCCGCCAGGCAGCTGCATGGGTTTCAAACCTGAATCAAATAGTAGCTGCAGTCCTTATGCTATTGGAAATACCAGATATGTTGGTTTAAATGAATCATTTATTTTGTGAAGTTCACCTTTTTGCTTTGGTTCCAAACAGATCCCATTGAGTTAAAGTAATTGTCCAACTGTTTGGGAAATATACTTTATCACTTTTAATTTCAAGAGAAAGATGAGAACATTGATACCATTCTCATGTCTGTTTTAATATAACGTTTTTTACTATTCATATTGTATCAAGTTTTATTTAATCAAAAGGCTACCACCAACAACCTGTTGACTTAGCTAGGCTTAGCTTACCTTAGTTTACCTTAGCTTAGCTTAGCTTACCTTAGTTTAGCTTAGCTTATCATTAAGACTGGATATATTGGGAACTGCTTTACTTTGCTTAGAGATATGAAAGTGGTATCAAGACTAAGCAAATGTTTGAAATATCAAACTGTCTCTTTAAATGAATGGGACAGTTCTGTTTTGTTTTGTTAAAAACACCAACAAAAAACACATCCGTGCACAGGTAAACTAATTTAACCCGAAAATAACTTTTCTTACAAAATAATTGTCGCAATGAAAGAAGTGCAAATGAAGGTCTATGGGTTATCAATCATGTAACCAGAACATGTAATTGGAAAAATATATTGCTGCTGAGTTTTTGAAAAGTATTTTTATCACTGTTTTAAAAGCAGTGCAAATAAAAGAATACACTTTGTTTGAGGTAAAACGATTTTTAACCGGGAAACAGCAGATATCCTAAATTCAAAGATTCTCCAAATAAGACATCCAATTTTCTTTCTGGTCACCAGTTTACTTTATGGGCAAAGTAAGTATTAGATTTGGTGAATGAGATCATACTGAGGCTTTTTATCAGCACTGTTCTCATGTTTCTCCTCCCTTTTAAAGGCAGTGTGCTCTGGTAGCTCTGAAGGATGTGAAGAAGTACCTGTCGGTGGAGGGAGGGCAGATCGCAGTGAGTCCTCTTTTTGCTGATATGTTGATCTGTGTCCCTGTCTGCGTTTCAATACATACTAGCTGAAAACATCCAGAACAGAAACACATCTGGCATTAAGGCAACCTTAATCTTACTGACAATTTACTAGAAGAGGGCGTGTGGCGCAGTGGGTAGAGCCTTGGTGTTGGGATCAGGGGTCACAGGTTCAAACCCCACTGCGGTCAGCATGTCGTTGTGTCCCTGGGCAAGACACTTCACCCCAAATTGCTCCTGTGCGGATTGTCCACAGTACTGAATGTATGTAAGTCGCTTTGGATAAAAGCGTCTAACATGTAATACTAGAGAAACCCCACATTAAACATGAGAAATCTCCTTTGTGATTCCTTTATTAGGTGTTCGATGCAACAAACACAACAAGAGAAAGACGAGACCTCATTATATCTTTTGTGAAAGAGAATGCTTATAAGGTAAGATATAGTATATGTTTGCAAATGTTTCGTGAGGAAAACATTTTTACTTTCATCAAGAATTCACACTTCATTTTGGTATAAACAGTACATGTAAAGACAACTTCACAGGGTGTCTTTACTATCTGATAAAAAGCAGGTGAATATGTGAGATGGCGTTGTTTCAATGCACCGTTACAGGAAGTTTAGCATGTGCTGACCCTGTGAGATGCCCTTTTCCAACAGGTGTTCTTTGTGGAGTCGGTGTGTGACGACCCAGAGGTCATTGCTGCTAATATTCTGGTATGGTCTCATGTCACCAGCCAGACATTACGGTTGGACTTGTTGTCTGGGTCAAACCCATAATCTATTAATATTCATACTATCTACAGTGCTATGTGAAAACCACCATGCTCTCTTACATTGTTTGAATGTGCTGAATACCTGTAACAGGAAGTGAAAGTGTCCAGTCCAGACTACCCAGAGAGACACAGAGAGAGGGTGATGGATGATTTCCTCAAAAGAATCGAGTGCTACAAGGTTACTTACCAACCAATAGATCCTGATGATTATGACAAGTAAGGACTCATTTCTTCTGCCTCTTTTATGTTTTTCAAACATGAATTATAACATTTCAATAACTACTGTTGAAATTAGAAATAAATGAATGTTTTTTGTTTATTCAGTACTGTGTCTATTCAATTGTGTAATTATGTGTATGTAAATGGTCTACAAAGTATAAAATCCCAAAGTTCCCTCCAGAGGGAGTTTCTCTCCCGTATACTCCCCCTCAACTGCCTGAAACGCCTCCATTGTGTTCCTTTGTTTACTTCCATAACATAAGGACATCACTACACAACATTCATACTTTTATTGGCTAGTGCTCCAACACATTGTATGTGATACTGTGATAGGCTAAGAGGCGGGACATGTCTCATTGGTTGACTAATAACAACCGAGCCAGCTAACCAATCAGAGCAGACTGGGCTCTGGTTTCAGACAGAGGGGGGAAAGAGATGCTGCAGCACAGGCAGTATGAGAAAAATCAAGAGCTTTTTGAACATTAAAGCATGTAAACATGTCACAGTAGAGGCACACAATACAAATATGAACCTGAAAATGAGCATACTAGATCCTCTTTAATCACAAAATTGAATATCATTAAATAGTGTCAGGAATGGTTGGTATTGTTTTATATTTCACGTTTGTGTATGAAAAGTGCTTAAAAATAAAGTCTGATTGATTGATCTACAGGGACCTATCTTTCATCAAGGTGATAAACGTGGGCCGGCGTTTCCTGGTGAACCGAGTGCAGGACTACATCCAGAGTAAGATAGTGTACTACCTCATGAACATCCAAGTGCACTCTCACTCCATCTACCTGTGTCGGCACGGAGAGAGCGACCACAACGTCGAAGGCCGAATCGGAGGAGACTCGGAGCTTTCTCCTCGAGGGAAACAGGTTCTCTTTTATAATCCTAATTTAATGAACTGAAACACCACTGTGTCCTGAAACCCAGCTACAAGCATTTCTTAAGGAGGTATATCAGTGAGATAAGGTGTTCCTTAGTCATAACCACAGTTACCCTTCTCTACTTCCTGTTTTCCTGTCGCTATCAACTGAACATGGTTCTTATAAAGCAAATAAATAATTTAATCAATTATTAAGGATATAAATTATTAATGGTTAGATTATTTGAAACCTCTGTCTGTGTCTCCAACATTGCAGTTTTCCCACGCCCTACGAGATTTCATTGAAGAGCATGAGCTGTCAGATTTGAAGGTGTGGACGAGTCAGCTGAGAAGAACCATCCAGACAGCTGAGGAGCTGTGTGTCCCTTACGAACAGTGGAAGATACTCAACGAGATCGATGCTGTCAGTACCCTCATCCTCTAACCTTCAGCAGATTCATTACAGATTCATGTACCTTTGGTTTGGATGGGGAGAAACTTTATTTGCAATGTTTCTCCGAGACATTTTGGCACGGGGAAAGGGGCATCCTAATGTACATCACTCAATACCAGTGGTAGAGGAGGTATTCAATAAAGTACCATTGGGTAGTTTGATTTATGACAAAACATAATATTTTTTTTATGTCTTAATGTAAAGTAACCGATAACTACTGCTGTCAGATAATTGCAGTGGTGTAAAACAATATTTCCCTTTAAAACATAGTAGAAAGTGGCATGAAAATAAGTGCCTAAAATGGGTTCCTTTAGTAAAGTACTCAAGTAAATGTTCACAAAAACATTCCACCAAAATCAAAAGGCCAGTTTCAAAAGATATTGGTCACAGTAAAGAGAGAATAGTTCAGGCAATCTAAGGAGATTACCTTTTTTTTTGTTAATTTTAAATGCAACCAGTTTCAACCTTGCAAGACCTTTTTCAGGGCAAGATATTAAAAACAAATAAAAACCACCTGGTACTGTTGATAGACATTAGTCTAAAACAGAATGTAAATATCTGTGCTTACAGGTGAAACTAACATTCTTCTTTAAAAAGGAACGACTGCTGTGTTTTTTTTGTGGACTGTATTTAAATCCTGCTGTGAAAGCATCCATTCAGCTTTTTACTTGTGCTTTTGACATTTTGACAAATGCTCTGTTTTCCATATCCAGGGTGTGTGTGAGGAGATGACCTATGAGATGATCGAGAACACATTCCCAGAGGAGTTTGCACTGAGGGACCAGGACAAGTACCACTATCGCTACCCAGGAGGAGAGGTGACCTGAAATAATCCCTCTATGCTTTACTTTCAATACACTGAATTCATCTTGTTGTTTGAACATGACATTTGGAGTGTGGTTAAAATAGTCTTCTCTCTCTCTTTTTCAGTCCTACCAAGACCTGGTTCAGCGCTTGGAGCCGGTCATCATGGAGCTGGAGAGGCAGGGCAACGTATTGGTCATTTGCCATCAGGCCGTGATGCGCTGCCTGCTGGCTTACTTCCTGGACGAGAGTGCAGGTCAGAATCACCCCTGTAATGTGAAACACATTTAATCCTTATATTCCTGACAAATCTAAGTGTATTTTTTGGGCAAATATCAGTTGGGGGAAGTGATTTTGGTTATATTATATTTCTATCACATGACCTGTATTCAATTAACTTTATTAAGCATTTATCCACACCAGTGTTCTCTATCTGATAGAGAAATAAAAATGGTTGACCTATGTTTACTACAAGCCAAGTGCAGGATTGCTCTGTGTTGGATAAATGTTGGCGGCTCCTCAATTGGCCCCTTCTGTATGTTTAAGCTCTTGAGAAACCCCCATAGGATCGATGTTGATGGAATTTGTTAAAAATGTTTGTGACTTTTTATAATTGTACTTATTTAAAAAATAAAACATCTGTCCATTTTAATTATTAAGTATTATTACTAACTATAATTACCTAGAAGGTTAAACTACTGTATGTATGTTTAATCGGTTAAAGGTGGGGTAGGTCATTTTGGAGAAACCAGCTCGAGTGCGCTAGAATTTGAAAATACACAACCGGAAAAAATCTGCCACTTCCTCACAGAGCCCCTCCTCCAACACACACGAACGCGCACATGACCAATGAGGGCACGAGATAGGTTTGTGCACAGATGGAAGGCTGACAGGCAGGTAGGCCATCCAGTTATTTTAACCGGGCTGGCTCAGATGATTGGTCGTGCTTTTTACAGTACTTACGGCTTCCACAGATTACATTTTTTAATGGATTTTTTGTCAAAGCATTTAATATATTCATTGTATGTTAAGATCATTCAATGGAATATAACAAAAAGTGTATCTCGAGCCGGTTTCTCAAACTTACCTACCCCACCTTTAAACATAAAAATATCAATAATTACATTACAAAAAAGATGATGACATTTTATGCATTCGCTTTCCGCAGAAGATCTACCATATATGAAATGTCCACTCCACACGATACTCAAGCTAACCCCTGTTGCATATGGTACGTCTTTACCTCTAAATATAACACCATTTTTCTTTTTTTAAATGTTTTTTATTTATTTAAATGTATTCTGTATTTTGTTCCAATAGGTTGCAAGGTGGAACTGTTTTATCTCAATGTGGAGGCAGTGAACACGCATCGAGACCGGACTCTTGTAAGTCCCTCTGGATTGAGCTGACAAATTACATTATTATTTTTTAATTAAAGCTTCAAAATATAATAATCCATTCAAATAATGTTTATTGTTAATGTACCCAGTATTAATTCAAAAGTTATCAGCATATTTCAACATCTGAAACAAAGTCTAAAAGGCCCTGTGTTTGTTGTGTCTGCTAGTTTGGTGCACTTCTTACCCTGTGTGAGGCTTTGCTGCTTTGACTCCCTTTTATATATTCCTTATGTTCCTTTATCTTTGAACCTTATTAATAAGTCTGGCTTAAGCAATATGATGAATATTGAATAAGTTGTTTATTTTGTTTTTGTTTGACCTTGATGGAGGCAATGGCTTGCGCTAACTTGCTTGGCTCTGCCCTGCTTGCATTTTGATATTAAGAATGTTCTTAATGAAAGACATCTGTATTTGAGCTATTATTCTATTGTTCATCTTTTATTATACTCTCTGTTTGTCCTGTGAAATCAGGGCTGATTTATTTGATATGTTTTTGTTGTGTGATGGAATACCTTTGCTTAAACAGCGTCTGTCACCTAAAACACTTACAGTTGTCTAACCTGTTGGTGTGGATCCATGTGGAGAAGACGGCTAGTTTGCTTGGCTTTGTCCGGTTAAGCCCCCCCCCCCCTCCTGCCAGGAGTTCACATGTTCCTTAATCTTTTTTCCCTGCTATATTTCCTCCCCTACCAGGATAAATCTGCGATGGACTCTGCTCTCACACTCCGGCGGAATAGTTACACTCCCTTGTCCAGTCACGACCAGTTCAAGCGTCCTAGGCTCTACAGCGCGGGCAACCAGCCCTGGCTCCCGCTCGCCCCCACCCCCGCAGCACTGATGCCAGAGGGACGGCAAAGCCAAGTTAGTGCCAGAGTTACAGCCCCCCCCCCCCCAGCCCCCTTCTAAACCAGTCAACTGTATTCGGTCACCTCCCTTCACAGTTTGCCATCCCCTCGCCTCAGTGTTGGATCCTCCCGATGTTTAGTGTCTGTGTTGAAAATACATACATGGAATCCATCTCTCTTTCTATGTTTCTCTCTCGGGGCATGTTTTGGGTCTTGAATGGGTTGCTGCCTTCTTTTTATGTTGTCTGTTTACCAAAATGCATGACCTATGCTTCACTACTGGGCTGCTTGAATATGCAGAACAGCATGCCAATTTGTTTTGAGCTAGCCAACATGGGATTCAAAAGACACACAAACATCAAAGACATCTTATACTGTATATATAATGTACACAGCTTTGGTTATGCATCAATTCCCTTAAATACATTACAAAATGTATCCAATTTGAGAGCAATTAGGCAAAAAAACAATACACAAATGAAAGATTTTAATCATTCAAATTTGAAAAAGCATAGAATAATATATTTATACGTGTTGTGTATTTGTCGGCCTTGCCTTGTGTGTTCAGTCCATCTCTACATCTATCTGTTTCCATCTCCACTTCTATCTGTTTCTATCTCCACCTCCTACCTGTCTTACAGCCTCGAATAGGATGCGGTTGTCTGTGAGTATTTCGTAGTTTATCTAGCCATCCCTTTATTTAGCCCTCTTCTTTCCCACAACCCATGTCATACGTTGTCACAGTGGTGTATTTAAATAGTTTTCAATCTTTCGGTTTCTCTAACCTTCATCACCTTTAATACTTCAGTAAAAGTCTTTGATGATAGTCATTATTAGCCACCTAGATATAGTTCACAATGAAACAAAATTGAGAACATCTTAACATATTTAGTTATTTATTTCCTTCATATTGTATTTAATTAAGTGTACTAGATTCCTAGAGTGATAATTTGCCTGAAAGAGCCTCCTCTAATGTGATTGTTTTACCACACTTCACTTAATGACCTAATTTTTCATATAAGAACTTAAGACTCCTGGGGCCCCTGGGAAAATGTTTTCCTCTAAAATAGCATTTGCTGCTGTAAGTCATTAATTTGTAAATGTCTGTGACATTTCCTTTCTCTCGAAGGAGTCCCTGTGCGAAGGAAGCGATGCTGACAGCGACGCTGACAGCCCCGAAGAAACGAGTGGCTGTGTCCGCTTCTGAGTGAAGATGAAGGTCTCTTCCTTCAATGTGTCAAAGTTCTGGGTTCAATCATGTTAGAAAGATGATATTATTTGTTTTAAACCATATTCTTTGAAATGTTGGTCTGATTATGAGGTCATTTGTTGGTCCTAAATCTCTCTGTTTAACTTCACTCTGCATGCTGAGGCTTCAAACTGGAAGACTTTTCATGGGTATCAAACACTACTGCATGCGCACAACAATCAAGCAACCAAGAATAAACAGGTTAACTTATCCTCTATGTAAATATTATAATACCTCCCTCAACTTTAACTTGTGCGTTGAAAACCATTTTTAGGTCATTGCAAATAGAACTTGTTATACAGAAGATGTTGTAGGAATTATTTTATAAGATACAAATATTCTCATTTAGCAAACATACTGTAATTGTAAGTCTTATATTCATATTTCTAACATCACATGTTATGTGATTGTTATTTGGTTTTTATTTGTGCTTTTGTCATTTTGAAGGAAATTAAAATACTGTATTGAGTTGGTTTCTTCTGTTTTGGAAGCCTTGTATATCTTGTTGGTCTTGTTAGAAATACCCCATTGGGAAAACTGTGTTCTAGCAGCAGTTAAAGAAGCTTAGTTTTCTGTCATAGGCTACTTGTAATGAGATGGTTTGCGCCATCACAATTTAAACCCTAAATGTTCATCTGTTTATTGTTTTTCTTGACTTTATATCCAAGCATGTTGATGGCTTATTAGCTATATCTTGACATCATTTTATCATACTTGCCATACATTTCTTTGAATTGCTTGTGTAATGTAACTTTACTCTTTACTTAATTCTCTTGACATATTCAAAACACAAAATCCTCTCATCATACTTAATCCTAGACAGTAGCACAAGTTATATTCTACGACTTTGTAATGTTTGAATATTGATATGTATTCGCTCATAGCAGCCTACTGTGCCTTTCATGCAGAAAATAAAAGTGAATTCTCATATGATTTTTGTTTACCCAGTGTGTGTAGTAAAGACCTTTGTGTAATCTTCAAAATGGGGTGGTACAAATCTATTACAAACATCATATAATATGTGTGGGGTTTAGTTAATTGTTCTTTGGTTGATGCAAAAAGGTCTCACAATTATTAAAAACTAAGTAGACCCCAGTGTCCTTTAAAAATGCAGGGTGTGTGTATAGGCCTATGTGATATAGGAGCAAAAAATGATAAAGACTATGACATAAACAGGAGTACCTAAATTATAAACATTTAGTCATAGGTTTCAGGGAAAAGGGTTCCATTCTTTTTTCAAAATCTTGTGACTTGTTTTGTTATTATAAACTGAAGTGTAAATAATTCAGTTCTACAAGAAGATGAAAACGTAATACTTTAGAAAATGCCTGAAGAAAGAACAAAATCTAAATAGAATAATACAATTGATAAGATATTCAAGAGCGCCATCATCTGGAGTATCAAGGTAGCAAATAATAGCTTAAAGTTAAAAGAGCCGATATAAAGATTAGCTTTTTTTTTTTTTAAATCTCCAGATTTGTCCAAACCTACAGTCTATGGTCCAAACCTTTATATAGAAAACATGATCAAAGAGATGCTAATGTGTTATCTTGAACAAATAACATAAATATGCTATAATTGTTTGTAAAATTAGCAGGGTATTTTCTTATGTGGCCCATGAGTCTTGTGTAAGTACAGTCATTTAAGGTTAACGTCATTGTTATACATTTAAAAGGGAATGGATGTATAGAGACAATGTACGGTACACGCCGTGTTGAGCGTCATGACGTAGAACAGACGCAGAGTGACGTTATACACACACCAGTTTCTCACTAGATGTTTATTGTTTGAGGCAGGATTGCAGTCAACAGCAGGTAAAACGAATTTAGCTCGTTGTCATTTATTTTATGAAATACTCTGTCGTGTTAATATATTTCAATTGACAGGTAACATGATGTACATTAGTCTACATAGATTAGAAATGCTTGAAAAAACGGTCCACTTAACGCCAAGTGAATGTGTAGGTTAGCATGCTAACACATGATATAGCTACCGTTAACGTTGGTCTATGAGTCTGGGCAAGTGTGTTTATTTAAACATGTTCATAATACATGTCACTAACGCCATTCTTGTCCAATGTTTATGAAGTAACTGGCTCTACATAATCATGCTATATTGTCTCGCTTGGCAGGTAGTTCCTAGCTTAGCCCGCTATCTGTTGGTCTTGCTGATGAGTTAACTGACAGAACAAAGAACAAAAACAAAGCATGTCGCTGTCACTTGATGCCCTTTAATGCTTCATCAGCATTGCAGTTGTTATGCTGGGTCCATTCAGAAAGCAGTACCATCACACAACGGCTAACTGACACCCTGGTTCCTGTTGTGAGGCAAAAGTTAACGTTTGGCTAACAAATGGTGAGCTAAAACAACCAGCTTAACGCTACACCATGAAGCAGCTGAGTCCCGAGCTAACTTAGCTAACGTTTGGGTGCATATTATGTGTAGCTACATGATCATGATGGCTGATTTAAAATCGGCACAAAGTGAATATAGTCTGTGTAAATTAAGTTCCTATTCTGTGGCACAACAGAAAACAATTAAGGTTTGAAAAATTCCTTTTTGAGTGTATTACTTCAAAAATAGTTTGAGTAAATGGAACACAATCAACTGTGATTCCATCAAGTAAATAGGAGGCAAACTATCAGCGTCATTTGAAATGACTGTAGACTCTTAAATATTTACCCCGTCTGCGGAGTGGCCTTTATTTCATCTTCCCAACAAATAAATGTACATGTGTCTCCACCCATGGCTTTATTTGTTTATGGAATTGAAACAGGCCTTTGCAGAATAAATGGAAATGTTATAAATAGCTGTTGCCACGTATAATTCACAACCAAAGAATAATAATTCAAAGTTTGATTCAATAATTATCAATGCAAAAGTTGCAGGGGTGCATAGAGTGAATAAGTAAGGCACCAAAACTCATAAAGCAACACCATATTTCTACTCAAGAAGTCTCTCACAGAGTGGCAAATATATCAACCTGATATATAATACATTCATCTGACTTTAGTACACCTCAGAATGTCACTATGTCTATATCAGAACAACTTGATATGTGTCATTTTCAAAATGAAAAGTGAATAAGTTACCACTAATTTCAGCAGATCCTCTGCATTTTAACGGTCAAAAATATAACCTCAGGGAAACCGCATTGATGTGAACAAAGTATGTCTGTTCCTCCCATCAGAGTCCTGCGGTCAGCTGTTCAGTCCCTTTGTTGTGCAACCATATGTGGCAGCAAGACAGTAAATGATGCTTCAATAGATGAGGAACTAGGACTGTTACTTAACTACTATTAGGCATAAGAATGACAGCAGCAGAAACAGGGTTATGCCTGTTGACTTCATAAGTTGATATGATGTTTTTATTAAGATGGATGTCCATAAAAGTGTCCTTGATGGCTATTTAAATCACTTGATAAGTGGCCTGATTAGTGGATGAGTATAGTTTTGTTACTGATACAATGTCTAATGTTTTTGCAGGTAGAATGTTGCGGCTTCGCTGTAAAACCAAAAATGGCAGCCACATAATGCAGGGCTTGACTCACCAGTCCTGTGTCCAAGAGCTGAAGAGTATGGTGGAGGAGCTGACTGGTATCCCATGTGATGTGCAGAAAATCATGGTTGGTTATCCACCCAGCAGCCTGGATCTTCAAAATGGAGACGCTCACCTCAAAGACTACCCTATCAAATCAGGTATGTTGATGTCAAACATTCAGATACATTCACATCATGTATTGACTGGGTTAACATTTAAGTACATTTTTGAATAAATTATTATTATAACAAATCTGGAAAGTTGGCGGCATATTTCTCAAGAAGTGGCAAACCTATTTGCAGTTAAGGTGTTCTGACTATAACTCAACATATTGTTAACAACTGCAAAGCTGTAAACAAAATAGATGTTTCCTCTCAATTTGTTCTTACAAAAGTCAGACTAGGCTAAACTGTGTGGCCTTCCTCTACAGGAGACACACTCATTGTTGAGGAAGACAAAAACAAGCCAAAGGAACAACCCGCTGTGACTAAAGTACCACGACTGGAAGCCTCGCCCATGCTGGCACGTAGAGTCGTCCCAGCAGACAACTCATGCCTCTTCACCAGTGTGTATTATGTGGTGGAGGGGGGGGTGTATGACCCTGCGTGCGCCCCAGAGATGCGCAGCCTCATAGCCCAGATCGTGTCAAGTGACACCACAGCTTACTCTGAAGCGGTGCTGGGGAAAACCAACGAGGACTACTGCACGTGGATCAGACGTGACGACACCTGGGGGGGGGCCATCGAGGTCTCCATCCTGTCCAAGTTTTACCAGTGCGAGATCTGTGTGGTGGACACTCAGACGGTGCGAGTGGATCGATTTGGGGAGGATGCTGGATACCACAAACGTGTGCTGCTCATCTACGACGGCATCCACTACGACCCCCTGCAGAAAGAGACGCCCGGCTCCGACGCTCCGCCCCTGACTATCTTCTCCACCACGGACGACGTCATCCTGGCTCTGGCACTTGAGCTGGCGGACGAAGCCCGCCGCAAGCGGCAGTTCACGGACGTTAACCGCTTCGCTTTGCGCTGCATGGTTTGCCAGCAAGGCCTTGTGGGACAAAAGGAGGCACGTGAACATGCCAAGGACACAGGCCACACCAATTTCGGCGAAGTGTGAACACTGTTTTGTCTTTTCTCCCTCTCACAAATACAACATCTACCAACCCCTTGCCCCACGTCTGGCAACTTTGTTGGTCTTTTTGTCACTCTGCTTGTGTGATCCTCTACCTCACGACATCAATGGAGAATCTGCAGACACTGCCCAGCCTCTAACCTGTTAAGTATTACTGTTTAACTGCTGTAAGTTCTCAAAGTCAGGAACGCTACTGCCGTGCTACGATGTCTCTAAACCATCTTTTTTAGTCTGTTACGTAGGTTTTTTAATCTGGGTCAACAACAAAAAGCAAACCATTTTTAGGATTATTTTTTTAACCCTTTCGACGACTTGATAGCTGGTCGTGTAGGAAAAAAATGAATGTGTTTTTAAATGAAAAAATCTTCCAATTTGCAAATACTTGCTTGGGTGGACTAAACTTCTGTTTGATTCAAACCCGGCTATCTGGCTCTTGAAAGAGTTTAAAACGACTAGGAATGATTTGCACTATGATGTGATCCAACTCACCGTTGTCTTAAGTGCAGCACAACAAGTATGACTGTTATTCATCATGTTGGTTATGTAGCATGTTTTTTGTGTCATAAACTAGTTTAATAGTTAAAACGTATAATTTGATCAAATGTAGAAATCTGTTCTGTGCAGCACAGTTGGGTTTGAATATAGTGAACAGCGGTCATTGAGGTTATGCATTTTGAAATACAATATCACGTTGCCAATTGTGATCCAAAGTTAGCCTAACTACTTATGTGAGACTATTTCATCTTTATTTTTCTTTCCTTTTTTTATGTCACAATATGGCTTATCGGTTATCTTATTTTAGATTAGTCAAAAGAAATGGTGCTGAAAACATAAAATGTGTCGCTCTGTTTTTCTTCATGGGTACAACAGTATTTCAGGAGTGTTTTTTTATTATAGTGTTATATTCAAATGTCATGCTGAAATCTTTTTTTTAAATCCAGTTTTAGATTTACATTGCTGCATATTTTGAAAAAACACTAAGCATGTTCATTTGTTTGAGCATTTATTTAATATTACAAAAGATGGTGAGAGGGACTCTAAATCTAAAGTGAGAGACTGTGAATTGATGTACGAGAAATCTCGCTGACGGAATGCATTTAGGATTCAGCGAATCAACAATAACCATTTATCTTTGAAATCACAACTTTCCAGCTAACATTTGAAGGCCTAAAGTATCTTTTGCCAGGGTGTTTGAAAAGAAGTATTTTTTTGGTTTACTATGTCGTGCATGTTGTCATAAAAGATGATGTTACACT